GAAAAATAAATCTGTTCTTTTTTTCTTATAAAAGGATAAATAAAACCAAAATATTGGTGTTAATTTTTGACTGTGTAACTTTACAAACGGCACCCCACAGGGTTCAGCTTTGAATACAAACACTTTCATGCACAAAAGCATCGGCTCTTAGGGAATAAGAAGAGCCGACTTCCGTCAAGTCAGAGCTGGATCCTCAAATTATTATTTTCTTCCTTTGGTGGACAAAATTCGTCCTCAAGAGCCATCGTTTCTCTGCTCCACATATTTGAATGATTGAATGATTTGAATTTGAATGAATGGGTGATTAATCGGCTTCTGCAGAAACAAGTAAAACATGCAGGACAGCGGTCCTTGAAGAACCATAATTGCCCCCCTGATATAAGGTCGTAGTATTATATGAAGACAGAGAGGGGGACGGACGTGGCAATCAGGTGGAGCAACTGTCCATCTCCTCAGTGGCCCAGGATATTTGTTCTGTTCAGAAAATTAATGTTTTGATTAAAATATTACTTTAAAAAGTAAGAAAACCTGCTTTTGTAACAGAACATATTCACACAATTATAAGACTTCTCCTGATTTATCAACACAAATTATTTGTTTTTGGCCAAATTAGGATAAAACATAAGGGCTATAATCTTTTACAAGTTAAGAGACGTTTGGGAGCAGAAAGAGACAGCTCTACTTTGGGAGCCGATCCACAAGAAAAGAGCCGAACTTCCCATCAAATGTTTGTTGAAGACCCATAGGACACTATACCAATACAATGCATTTCACAAAACAGATTAGAGATGAATTAAATTGATTACAAAAACCTAAGAGCTGGGAAATAAAGTAACTGGATGTTTTGCAGGAAGAGTTTTCTATTTGAAACTGGAGAATGTGAGGTTTATGAGGACTACAGTACACAGTTTTATGTAGATGCAGCAAATCAACTTTAGATTTGCCTCTTTTTTATGAAAAAGGAAACTTTAAATCACAAACTGTCATAAAATACTTAAAATAAAGTGGTCTGAATCACCCAAAATAACTGACAGCTGAGTAGTAGAAGTATTTAGTATGCCAGCGATTAGTCTGCTCCATCCAGGCGCAGCATAACAGGCTATTCTTTCAGAACCGGCTTACTTTTTCCATGGGATTTATTGGCTGCCATGCTACACTGACATGCCCATAAACAGCTAATGGTTCCCATTTGTGCTAATTGTGTCCAAATTGGAGTCTGCTGAGCTAACTTGAAACGTAAGGTGAGCTTTAATGAGTGACTCTGTGTCTCATCCAGGCGGGGGGAAAAAAATCCCTGGAGAACCAAATGGAAAGAGGGAGAACATTATGACCTACGTGGAGTCTGAGTGAAACAAAGCGACAGCAGCTGGAAGAAGATTTTTTGTCCCACTGAGCGACTGATGAACTTTGTCTTCCTTAATTGTCTGAAAATCCCCCAAAACAAGCTTGAAAGACCTTTCCAGTTCGGATCCCAGTTATGCTTCCCCTCACCTCCTCCCTCCTCCTCTTCCTTCTGACTGGACCTGCTCTTCTGACCTCGTCGACCTCCACGGAGTTAGAGGTCGGAGGTCAACGGAGACCAAAAGAAGCTGAGCAGGACTCCATTAAGGTGATGTACTGAATGGACTGATAACACATCCACAGACCAGACATTTTCTTCTTATAAAGCTAATTATTTTCTTGACAGTACCTGTTTCTGAATGTACACTTCATGTTTACTGATGCAGTCACTTTAGGGAAAATGTTCAGGTGGCGGGTCTGTTAGGCTCACCCAGTAGTTTGGAAACAAATGTTTCCAAAAAACCAGCAGAAACATGCTAACAAGCTATGACAAGCTACGGAGTTTCTATCCAGAGGACAGATGGGCTGTCGTCATTTAAATCAAAAAGTTCTGGAAACCTCCTCCAGGACCCAGCAAGGAAACCTGACATCCTGAGTTATGACAAGAGCGTTTTAGTATAATTTAAAACAACCGAGGCTGACGTAATCAGGTTGGAGAACATCATCATGATTTTAAAAAAAAAGTTTAACTATTATAACCTTGTTATAACTGAACTGTTTTTGTTTGCRTGTTCTTTGTGATGTGAGCTGTAAAATATGTGGCCTTAGAATATGTGTGGTCCAGGTCTAAACCTCAGAGTTTAACGGTTTCTTCATTCTGCTGCTGCAGCTGGTGATCTCAGAGGGATGCAGCTCTCAGGGAGATTCACCTAACGCGAGCCAGGGAGGTAATAGTTAATGATTTGACGAAGACGCATCGTATCCTAATGAACAGGGACGGATCAGGTGTTTGAAATGCTTACATGTGTTTCACAGGGAAAGAAATCAACCTGGATCCTGGTTCTCCTCTAGTCCTGACCCACAGAATCAAACTGGTTCCATCGGGATCGGGGTCTGGGTCGTGTGGCTGCGAGGCAGACTTCGCTGCCCTGCGGGAGCGGCTGGAGAGTCTGGAGAGGGAGGTGTCCAGCCTGAGGGAGAAGTGTGGAGGGGCCGAGGGAAGCTGCTGCACCTCAGAGAGCAAAGGTGAAACTACTTAACTGAGCATTTACAACCTTATTATTATTATTACATTTTTTTAATCAAATGCATAAATGATGTCGTTTTTAAATAAACACTTGAGTAAAATTTTAGTTACGAGTTTTAACTTGAATAAAATCTCAGATGAAAAATAAATAAAAATTAAAGTGTCCTAAACACGTGACAACATCCCACTTACAGAAATTAAAAAATGTACTGATAAATTGACTGATTTTTTTTAACAAGTTTGAACCAAAGTTTCCCTGGAAATCTGGAAACCTGAAAAACCTCCATGTTTTTGCATCGCAACAAGTCCTGAGTTAATTTCATGGACAGAACTGATTTGTCCTGCAGACATACATTTGATGCAGAAGTAACGGCAGTCAAAAGTTCGAAAGAACCAAAACTTTTCCATCTCAGCATCTCCATGAGTTCATTTAATCAAAACAAAAAGAATCAGAGGAAAATGATGTAAACAGTCATACAAAGACTTAAAGTAAATAAATTTGGGGYTGCATGAGTGATAAAATGATAAATAGGAGAGTGTTAGTCATTTTGTAAATCCTGATTAAAGAACTGCTTGCACATGAAAATAAACCAAGTTTTTTCTCCTAAAAAATGAMAGGAAAAAATAAAAATGACAGAAAAATGATTCCTGAATAACAAATCTACTATTCTTTTTAAACGGATGCTTAAATTTAACTGTTTTCCTATTATTTTAAACTAGAAGATCAGACGACATATATTCAGGAACATGTGGTCAACAAATTTTATTTGCCTTAAAAAAATCCCCTTTCTGTTTTCCATTTGCTGCGTTTGGTGATGAATTCTTGTTTAGTGACACCACAACACAAAGAAAACTTCAAAAGCAGCATCACTCGTCACGTTAATACAAGTCAGTTTATTAAGAAATTCCCTCATATTTAAAACGACACACAGCTGCCTGAAAGTTTAGGAACATTTTCAGAAAGAAACCTTTTAAATTTCTTTCTGTCACTGCAGAAACTTTCTGACTGTGATCTTCAAAAACGCATTTATAAGTACTGTTAAGTATTTAACAGATAAGTAYTTAAAAGTAATGTTCATTGCAATATTAAGTAATCAGTCTTATTATGTTAGAAACATTTTTAAGCAAAGAAACACATCTGTCTGTTTCACTGAGACATGCTGAAAGCATTTCAGATACTTCMGTAGATCTTAGTTTACTTACTGTTTTCTTACAGAAGGGWCTGCTGGTGAAACCATAGACACACRATGAATGCACTCTCTTAATAAGGATTATTTTATCTTAAAACCACCAAGTTAACATCGGATWTATACAGCTGGATTAATGTCTAGATTTACGCAGATGGCATCACAAAGTGACAGAAATCAATATGAGCTACCAGAACTCAGGGTACTTACTCACTTTGTTGGACCAGAGTTTCTTTGGGGGGCGAAAAGGCAAATTGAGGTTAGATTTGATTAAGTCRCCAGGAAACGGATGTAGGTAAATGTACTCTGAAGAGATGGAAAACACAGCTCTTTGCCCACTGTGACCTCAGCCTCGTATGGATCGTGGACTTCCTCCACCCTCAACTTTGACAACACTCCCATACACAGACATAAGAGCCCCAATCACTCAAAACAAGGCTGTTTTGTACCGTCTAATGAGAGCAGATTAGACTTTCACTACCCCACTCATCCTCCTCCTCAAAAAAATAAATAAATAAATAAATAAAACGACAAAAGCATGGTGATAAAATAAATATTTGGTTCTACCTCTTTCAAATAGGTCTGCAGTAGATCTGGATAATAAAAATCCAACCACAGTCATCCCAAGACTTTCTTGTTGTGTGTATCAAGATCCCTAATGGTCTTTTACAGTCTACCAAAGAACTGACGCCTCATTCTAATATACATAACAAAAGTGTAGGGGTCACCTCGAGTGAAGAAACAAGTTTTGCTGCCTCGGACAGGCCTGACAAGAGGACAGGAACTCTGTCACAAACTGAACTCTATTTAGGCCAGGACAGGTCATTCCAACAGTGGAAGAGAACCCCTCAGTTCTCTTTATCAGATAATGGACAGAACAAACTCTTCTGTTCGTGATTCATTTGTTGTTT